GACTAAAAGCTCCTCGAAGATCTCTTGGCTCTGGCACAAACATACATCGGTCTACACGTCTCGTCACACGGATCGAATAGACAAGGTTGGCCTAAGCTCTCAAAGCTCTCAAAAGCAACTTCAACCCGAAGAGTTGCGGTGAGTTGCGTCTCGACCCAACGGCTCGGACCTTGTTCTGACTGGGCAGCCAAGGTGGCTGCATCGTCAGCATCGCGCAGGCGATGGACGCCTCTGCCGCGCAGCGGTGTGGCTCCTGGTGGACGCCCGGGCCAAAACGGAGGACGCCAAGAACTTGGGAGCAAGAAAGAGGCCACAACTCGGGTGAAACACGCGCGATTCTTCCACAAGTGTTGGAGGAAAAACATTTAAAGACCGGTGTGGAAAGCAAAACACCGTACAGAGACCTAGTAGCATCTCTAATTGCTGAAGGCCACCCTGTAGCACGTAGCTAGGATTCTAGTTCTTGTTGCATATTAGACTGGTAGAAGGGATTGCAGAAAGTATTGTAAAAAGAAAAAGAATCTTTAAACACCAAGCTGCAAAAGTGGGCTTTCTGATTCATGCAGTAAGCATGACTTCCCCCATCCTCCTACTGTTTTCCTGAGTGCGTAGCGAAAGGTTCTCATTAACTCTGGGGCCTGGGGGTAGAGCCTTGTTCGCAACCCCTTGTCTGAACGACCGCAACCGTTGTCAACCGTCCGCAACCGTCCGCAGCCGTTCGCAGTAAGGTGCTAAGGCGCTGCCATTGGGGGAAGCTTTAGGAGAGGGTTTTGCATGGAAGCGGGACGTGTCAGATTCGTGTGAAATAGCGAGGAATCGTGTGGAAACGTAAGATGTTGAAGTGTGGAGGGCGATTTCACTGCGCAGGCGCAGCGCTTTGGAGAGTGGTGCTTTTGGGGTGTGGGATGTGGCTGTGACATTGGGATTCGCGTTTCAGGGTGTTGCAGTGTTGCACCGAAGTGTTTTCGTGACAAGTCTCAGCTGGGATTTTGGTGGATGGGAGTGAGCTCAGAACGTGTCGAAATCATTCCAAACGTGTGGCGTGGTGAAAGTTTTGTTGACGCTCACACGATATGATATTGTCGCTTTTCGTGGCAGGCGCCGTACTTTGTGCGGGTTTGGAGGCGTGGAAGTGCGATTTTCGCGGCAGGCGCTGGGAATCGTGAGGTTGCAAGGTGTGGCGGAGGTCACATTTCGTGGCAGGTGCAGTACTTTGCGCGTGTCAGACGTGTGGACACATAAATTTTCGTGGCAGGCGCAGGGAACCGTGAGGCGAGTTGCGGTGGAGGTGAACGTCGCTGTGGATGAGCGCTGGAATCGCGAAACTGCTTGGCAGGGCTGCTTGATGTGTGTGCTCCGATGGGGGTTCCCGCTTGATTTTTTGGAGGAAGTCTCGTACAAAAGGCTCGGTTTGCAGACTCGAAGCGTGAGTTTTTGAGGAGTCTCCTACGAAACGCTCGTTTTGGAGCGTGAATTTTGGAGGACGTCTCGCACGAAACGCTCGTTTTGCAGACTCCACGTGTGAGTTTTGAGAAAGTGAGTGTCCCACAAGAGTGTCCTACAGAGATCTACAGCAAGTCCCAAAAGTGTGTCCGACAAGAGTATCCCACAAGAGTGCACCACAAGAGCTTTTTACAAGAGTGTCCGACAAGTCTGTCCTATAGAAGAGTGTCCCACAAGAGTGTCCTACAAGAATGTCACACAAGAGTGTGTCCCACAAGAATGCCATACAAGAGTGTCCCACAAGAGTTTCCTACAAGGGAGTCCCGCAAGAGTGTCCTATAAGAGTGCTCCGAAGAGTGTTCCACAAGAGTGCCCAAGAGTGTCCCGCAAGAGTGTCCGGCAAGAGTGTCCTACGAGAGTGTCCCACAAAAGAACCCTACAAGAGTGTTCCGCAAGAGAGTGTCCGACAAGCCCTATGAGAGTGTCCCACAAGAGTGACGTACAAGAGTCTCCCTCAAGAGTGTCCTACAAGAGAGTTCCGCAAGAGGTGTCCTACCAGAGCGTCCCACAAGAGTGACAAACAAGAGTGTCCCACAAGAGTGTCCTACAAGAGAGTTCCGCAAGAGTGTCCCACGAGAGTGTCCTACGAGAGTGTCCCACAAGAGTGACATACAAGAGTGTCCCACAAGAGAGTTCCGCAAGAGTGTCCCACGAGAGTGTCCTACGAGAGTGACATACAAGAGTGTCCCACAAGAGTGTCCGAGAAGTGCGTCCCACAAGAGTGTTCCACAAGAGTGTCCGGCAAGAGTGTTCTACGAGAGTGTTCTGCAAGAGTGTCCCACAAGAGTGAGTGTCATACAAGGTGTCCCACAAGAGTGCACAAGAGTGTCCCACAAAGCTTTCCGAAAAGAAAGTGTCCTAAGAGTGTCCCACAAAAGTGTCTCCTACAAGAGTGTCAAAAATTGTTCGGGTGTGTTTTCGAGCACGTGTTTGCATTCGGGTTCGTGGGCTCCGTCTGGTTTTTTACCGTCGCCTCTCTCGGTCCCTCCCCTATCCGGTCGGTCCTCCACCGAGAGGAGCAGCAGACGCATCAAGGGTGCCGGTAGGGGGCCATGTGCCATGCGCAGCCCCAAAGGCTCCACCAATCGTGCCTCCAATCATCGAGGGACCCCCCGCCGCCGGAGGCGAACGAACCGGTGGTCCGCGAGGAACAGACCGGTGGTGGTCGTCCGAAGAATTGGCTCGTGAATGAACTGGCCAAGAAAGAATCAAACTGTGCGTCTGAAGAGAGCAAGAGGGACCTGTACAGCTTGAAGATGCGTCAAGGATGAACTTGCAACAGTGAGCTGTGTGCATCACACCGTAGGTTGGCCCCAGCAGATGAGAGTGGGCCAATGATAGCAGAACAGTCCTAGAACAGTCCTCATCTGAGGGAGATTCACATGTCATCACATGTCTATAGTTTCTCCTTGGGTTTGTTAGGTTGCTCAAACTTGGAGATTCAAAGACGCATTCCACACCACAAAGCTAAATCAAGGCAGAGCGGAATCGGTCAATTCCCCACAGGCGGTGAACCTTTCTTTTCGGCCGCGGTCACCTCCATGTCTTTTATGCCACCATGAATGTTCTAGAAAGCCCTTCAAAAAAATTGTTTAGATCGATGCCCAAGGGGTTAGCCAGCTATAGCCTATAGAAATTTCCTGGCAGCTGACTTGAGATCAGGGTGGTCGTGCCTCTGCATCGATGGCTCCCAAGGCATAAAGGTCCTCGCGGTCAAATGGCAAGACCAACCAGTGCCAATGATCCTTTGAATCATCTTCTTCCTACAACAATCTTCTGGCAGCCAGTCCAACAAATGTTGCATTCTTATTCCTTCTTGGGGGGATTGAAGCCCCAAGAGTTCTTGATGATCTTCATGACAAAGACTTCCCGGTGCCACGCCGATACCCTCCGGTTCCGTCCAACCACTTCTCCAACCCGCGGCCTCCAGAGCCACCTCCAACGCCTCCCGCGCGGGCGGCGTGGGAAACTCGAAAGCACCCACGTCCTCAGTCTCGATCGGATCGCAGGAATCACGTCTTGCCAAGTTTCTTGGGACCAAAACTAACTGGTTTCGACATGTCTAAATGGCTCTCTTCTCCTAAAAAGAGTGCTAATTACTTCAATTCCTAACAGTCCTAATGTGTTTGGCACGATGTAGTGCTATCGGCGCAGCAGGAAAATATCAAGAAGCCTTCCATGCCTCATGCTGTTTCTGCCGAGGCCCTGGCATCCACACCCAGGCACTTCAGGGTCAACACGACATCCTGGAGATGCGAAGACTCGAAGCTCTTCCATCGGGAAGCGACCCAGACCCGAAAGTGGAAGGTAGCAGAGAGAGGTCACAAGTGGCCTATGGACCTTTGACCCAAGCGGCGAACATCTCTTTGACCTGCTGATCTTGCTGACCTGCTTCAGTCAGATCTTGATTTGGAGGTACCAGCCAAGAGATGCTGCTTAGGTACAGGTGTGCCAGCAAGGGATCAGCTGAATTACTATCTTTAAACAAAGCACAGCACAGCACAGCACGACCAAAGAATCTATCTAGATGGATGGATGGATGGATGGATGGATGGATAGATCGATGGATAGATCGATGGATAGATAGATCGATGGATGGATAGATAGATGCTTGTGGCAGGTCGCATAGTAATTATATAGACTCAAAATGTTCTTCAAACATCTTCAAACCG